TTTAATTTCTATTAATTATCTTGCATATTTTATATTCAAAATTATTTACATAAACACTAAAAGATTACCATTCAGCATGGAATTATTTGAGGTTATGGAAGACCTAATGGACCTCAAAAATTCAGAAATTTATGGACCATTCGGACATAAATAATCATAGAGTCGTACATATATTATAGAACTCAATAGTCTTTAGAAATTAATTATATTAATTTTTAAAAAAGTCATTTTTAGGATATATATATATATAAGGTGATAGCAGGGCCTGATATAAGATAAACAACTGCAGTTTAGGGCCTGGCGTTGAGTGTATAGATAGTACCTCACATTTTTAAACGCATCATTACTCGGTGGAGTATAAGGCCTGTTATATGTTATAGCTTAGAGCTACAATTAGTTTAGCCTTGAGTGACAGATTGTGATGTATTGTCTAGAACCTTATGTAATTGTACAGGTAGTTGTCATTCGTTTAATTAATAGTTGGCTCTGTACTTTCAAAAATATTTAAAAATGAATAATTTACATTAATCAAAAATACAAGTTACTCGTTTTTAGAATATCTATAAAGTCTACCTGTCATTTAAGTATTGAAACAAGATAGATGTACTTGTCTTGTACCTCGTGACAGGCATTATGTAGAAAAATTAGTAAAAGAAATAAATATAATTTAATTATATAAATTTATAATTCGTGTAAAAACAGATTTGAGTGAAAATATTCTGTTTAAAATGTAATTTACTCGTTTATGAAACTTCTTTCATATAAAAATGATGAGTGTAAAAGGCAAATTCTGTATGGAATTATGTAAAATTATTTAAAGTAATTTTATCTTTCGAAGAAAAAAATGCTTTTTTAATTAAATTTGTATTCAAATATAAATTTAATGTCGTTTATTAAGTTAATAATTATGCAATTTGCGACACACAAAAGAGTATAAAAGTATGAAAAAAAAGTCGAAAATTCAAGGTAAAATTTTATTGTATAGTAGTAAATTATATAAGCTTATATTTTTAAAACTGTATTAAAATTCTGAGGAATGAGTTGCTTAAAAACTTGTTATAAGTGCCTAGAATTTGTTATAAGTGCTTATATGTATGTATTTAAAATAGTTTGTTCTGAGAATATCAAACATAAGCTTTCATTTTGCTTTGTAAGCTATTGTAGTTATTTTTATTTATATTAATTTAAAAATAAAACAACCAGGACAGACAACCAGGCGGTTGAGTTAGTAATTACCTGTCAGCAACTGTGGAAAATCCTAATCGAGATTCTCAGAAATTTCACGAGTATTTTAACACGGATAGATCGAACCTTCTACCTCAACACCTACCTCCATTCTGAGATTGCTGAATTTGTAACTGGCATAGAAAGGCCCTCTTGTTCATCGTGAGGACCTTTTAACATACAAGAAAGAAATTTGTACTGTATATAGTGAAGATTTATTATAAAAATGTATATCTTGCTTCTGTTTATAATAAATGCACTTCAATGCCATAAATTATAATGACAGTGAATATATAAATATGTATAAATCAAGATCGAAGTTGTTGCAAGGTCATACTTATTGCAACATTCCATTTTTGTTTACTTTATAAAATTTATTTTATTGAAGAATTTGATTTAGTCTCTTCTTAAGGAAGATTTTTCTGTATATAAATCTTTACATTACAAATTAATAATTTTTTTGAACTATTTTTCATAAAGTTAATTAAGTTACATATAAATTTGAAATTAATAATTATAAAATATCTTTGCTCAGTTTTAAACTTTAATAACTTTTGATGTATACCTGATAGAAATTTACTGTAAATGGCACATGAAAGCTTAATTCGTATACTTTTTATATATTACTGTTGTAAATTTATATTAATTCATTTTAATTTATTTCCGGATCCTTTGACTGTTCGAAGTGTGTGTTACATCTTGTTACATTCGTAAAGTTATATTGAGTTTTCTAGGGCACGTAACAGCTAAAAAACTGAATAAAACTTTAAGAATTAAGCTTTTATATACTATTTATAATGTGTTTCTATCACTTATACTGTAAATCTAAAGTTATTATAGTTGCAATAGACTTCACGCTATCATCGGGAATTTTTATTTAAAAGCAGAAGAATTTTAGGTTCTAATCATGAAAATTATCACGAATAAATTTCATAATTGCTTAAAAATATCAGAGATAATTTAATATTTTACTATCATAAACAATAAATCATATAATTACTCTTAAAGCTGTAGGAAAGAATTCCAAGTTTCGTACAAACACACCCGTCTAAATTCAATTAACTGATGTTCGATGTTAATTTTTTTTTAATGTTTCAAATGGTAATTATTAAATTATTTTAAAGACGAAAAGATTTTTCACAATATGAATGTAAATTTTACATGTAAGATATTTTTGTAATTATACATTCTGTAATGTAGGTGTATACAAGGACGTACTTGTAAGTGGTTTGTTGGATAAAATCGAGTTTTTATACTTATAAAATCCATTCGCATTCTTATAATCTCCTTTCCCATACATGATGAAGGTCATGTAAAGTAAAATAATTATTAAATTGATCAAAATGATAAGAATAATCCTTCCTTAAACACAATATCCTTCACACCTCTCTTCTCTCTCCATGCGTGAAGGAGAGATTAAATTTATACATTTTTTTAAATTAAGTGTTTAAATTAACGTTAACTGTTTTTATATTTAATTAAAATGTATTTAATTTTCTTTTTTTCTTTTTTTTTTGAACAGGTAAAGGACAAGGAACTTTCTAAAAATCGCACTTTGTCCTTGGAAAACATAGATTTTATTTTAAAAATATAAATAAATAAAATGGAAATATCAATTGAGATAATGAAGCTTTTAATTATAAAGATATTGTAGAAGATACTAACAACTTTCACACTTTAATGTTGATTTATTAAGTTTTAAAGTAGAACTTGTCTTCGTATGAGTAATAGCTTTGGTTTTTTTAATGATTTTTAAAATATGATATGTAAACAAGATTCAAATTTATAAATTTAATTAAACAATGGTCTTTTCTGATGCTTTTTCTAAGCATATTTCCGTATTTAACCTTCTCTTTACAGAATTAATATTACATAAGTTTAAGCTAAATTTCCATTAAAATCTGGGTCTAATAACTACTTATTTGATGTTTAATAAATCAGAAAATTAATAATTATATTAGAAATAATATATAACAATTTATTGATTATTATTTTACAAGAATTCTTAAATATTAAATAATTACAAATTATATATATTTAAGCCATTCAATCACATTAACCTTTTATGTCCATTTTAATGGCAAGAGATGAATGTGAACCACTTATAACTGGAGTATTTATAAAATTGTCATGGCATTTTGTTACAGAACAAATCCAGAAAGAATGCCTTTGATTAATTTCAAGTAAATTCTGGAGTTGTTAGTCAATGAGTATGGTTGACAGTTGCTGGAATTTCGTATGTTCTCGCTATTCTAGTAAATATAAAAAGTAATGTTTATTTAAAAAATGCTTATACACACATGGTTATGATGATATTTAGATATAAGATCTGAACTGATAACAATGCTTCGAATCATTTTCGTATGGCCATGAATCACAGAAATTCTTCGGTCTGAAAATTGTATCAAAATAACAACTTTAAAATGTTCTCGCTTTATTTTTGGATCATTTAGTTCGTTTATAAAAAGTCTATGCTTTATTTACAAGGTATTCCATCAATTTAACTTCACTTGAAGCACTCGTCCTCTTTGATGATCCTTTCGTTGCAACATCTTCGTATGACTATAAATGTTCAATTTTAAATAATTTAAAATAAGTAAAAATATAGTCTGTCCCTTTAAGAACCTTCTAATTGATCTTCCACATAGCATGGATTAACAACCGCCGAATTTTTCACCCGCAAACTGTTTTTATGAACTGAATTTTGTACCATATTATCTACATTCTTGTCTAGAACATTATATGAAGTAATAACTGCGTTATTAGATAACTGTCTGATGAAAGACGGTTTTCTCGATTGTTCATTTGTAATGTCTTTAACTTCATTACCGTTATTTTCATGGTTTTTCTTACACGAAATTTGGCCAAAGATGGAAAACAAGACAGGCAATAAAAATAAAGCGTGAAGAGCTGCAAAAGCTATGACTAAAACAATCACTTTAAAAAATACTAAGAATATATATGCTGGAGCTGTCACTAAAACTAGAATTGCTAAAATAGTAGAAAAACTTCCTTGAACTATTGGTAAACCTACTAAATACAGAGCCGAAGACATTCTTTTGTTAGGATCAGATTCTTTGCTGAAATGTTTATAAGCGTGGGATATATGAGCTGCAAAATCCACCGAAAATCCAATACACATGATGAGATTGATCATAGAAACTGTGTCTAAGTTAACGTTCCATAATGTCATATATCCCATAACACCAACTTGTATGGAAACTATAGATGCTGCTACTGACAATACACTTGTAATACTCGGTATGAATACAAAAGTGATAATCATCATCACTATAGCAGCAATGATAATAGACTGAAACGAAGCTTTGGTCACTAACAAAAACTGATCATAGAATGCAAACAGAAAGTGATGAACGATGACAGGAAATGGTGCCGATGATGCAATATCTCGTAGTTGAATTAATAATTGTTTATCTTCTTCGACACCATTAACGTTAACTGACTGAACAATAAAGCGACTAGCAATGATTTCTGTGTAGTTTTCGTTAAAAACAAGATCATCTTTTACTTGACGACCAACAGAAAATTTCAGGAAGACTTTGCGCAAACAGTAGATGAACTCTTGCTTGTTTGTTAGATTATAATTTTGGAAGAGAACGGCAGTTCTCTTATTGGTATAAAACCTCTTAAAGTATCTCAACCAGAATTCTGTTAATCTCGTATCCGAAGAGAGAAACCTATTTGATTCAAACTTCTGTACCAGTTCCTCCAGTTGATCTTGCACTTTTGGATCAGAATAGTCCAGGGTGGTATTAATAACCACTTGAATTCGATCACGATAATCACCGAAATATTTATTTGTATTATCGAATAATTTAACCGGATACGAATTATAAGGTGCCAACTTCTGAAATTCCAGTCCTTCTTTAATTTGAGTACAGCCCCAAACAGCAACGGCGAAGTATATCAGAAATAATACTATGACAAGTACTTTGATATATTTATTGCTTAATGTTCTTCCTAAATTGTCTTTGAAACAGGTCATCATGAAGTAACCTTTTTCTGTTGTGGAAACTTCACTTTTCCTTCCGGTGCATAACAGTCGATATAAGAAGTTATAATCCTCTGAAAAAAATAATAATTGTAAGTACTGTAAACGAAAATGTTATAATTCAGAAGCCAATATTAAATTACGAATGAAGAGGACTTACTTGTTTCTTCCTTTTCTTTAATAGGTAAAAATGTTAAGGAATGTAATTTCTTCTCCTCTGCATAGCCAAATAGAGCTAAACATCCCCCGAAGAAAGTAATTTGGAACAGATACGTAAATAAAACTGCAGAAGCAGCTGATGCACAAAATATTCTCACAACAGGAAAAGGAGCCGTGATTCCAATAAGAAACGATATAAAATTTGTTACAGAAGTAACAGTTATGGAAACTGCTGCATCTTCATAAGCTTTGGCTAGACGATCTTCCACGGAAGATTTCTTATCCGTACATCTCCATGCTGCTAAAAGCACGAAAGTATCATCCATGCCAATTCCTGTAAGGGGAAAAAACTTGTTTAGAGCCAATGTTTATTATTAATTACGTGAAAATTGAAACAAATAACTTCAAGATAATACTTACCAAGCATCAAGAAAGGTACGGCGATATTAATATCCACATAATCCAATCCGCAATATCCTAAAAATCCGAAAGATGATGCAACCGCTACACCAGAAGAAAACGATCCCAAAACAGAACACCAAGGCTTACTTTCGATCCAATCACTCGAAACTGTTGTCAATATAGAGAAACACAGCATAATGATGACGGCAATGGCGTATAATGGCAATAATCCTACAGTTATACGATGTATTTCGTTTTCTAAAGAACTAGATGTGAAGTAGCTGTGGTCTATCAAATCTATATTTAATTTTTTCAGAAATTCAACTAGTTTTTCTTCCCATAATAATGCAAGTTCTTCTTTATGATTATTAGAATTATCCATAAAATACAATAACCTGAGAGCTTTGGCATTTATGATATTCCTATCTTTATCAGTGGTAACTCCACCGAGACTAACGGCATAAAAAACGTACTCGTAAGTGTAATTGTTTAAATACAATGGATAAGGAAGGAAATCTGTTCCATTTTCTAAATCTGCTATTCTTTTATCCAATTTTAAATATTCATTTTCGAAGCATTTTCTATTCTTCTTGGCACAGACATCTTCGTAAGTATACGGAGTTCCGTCAATTTCAATTGTGACGTTTTTTATAAGTTTATCCAATAATTGGACCTGATAAAATATCTTAGATCTTAGAACAGATCCGTTATCTTTAGGAATGACAACGATTATAGTTTGCCTGCCCATCCTCGTTGCTCTTCCTATATCAAAATTATTCGTAACGTCGTTGAGAAAGAGTTTTTCAATGTATTCCCGATTTATCATGGCAGGACTGCCCGTAGCTGTATATAATGTATCCAAGTCCTTCGTTAGTCTAAGTCTTTGCAAACCAGTTGCAAATATTCCTGCTACAAGAAATGGCACTATAATAAAATAACCTGGATATCTTGCTATTTTCCTTCCCAAGTGAGAAAAGCTCTTGGAAAATAGTTGCTGAACAACGTTTAGTTTCATATTTGTTGATGTTTCTGAAAGAAAAGTAATCAAAAATTAGAATTTTAAATCATCTAACATCATTTATTTTATTTAAATAAAGTCATTTAATGTTACAACACTGTCTCGCAATAATGTAACACGCCACCTCTACAAAACGCCTACTCTCCAATTTAATTCGGGCTTTCATAATTTTCATGGGTAATACAAGGTAGGGCATTGCGCTCCAATCCTTCACCCATACTAAATGACCCCATCGAGGGTCAGACTTACTCATAATGGATTAAATCAAGGGCTTTAGTGTACTGATGCCTCAGGATAAATTTATATCACAAAACCTTTATTTATAAGAATATACCATTTTATAAATGGAAGAACACTTTATTCCCTTATAATGTTCACCAATTTTCCAAATTATGACAATTTCTGGAGAATAAAAATGACAAAAATTGGCAAACAGAAATTAATAAATTAAACCGACGATAAAGAAAGCTCATAAGAATTGAAATGGAATTGAAATGGGGATTATAAAATATAATTAGTTAAAACAATAGGAAGATTTGCAGTTGGAAATGCCAAGAGGAAAGTAATAATATAAAGAACATTATCAGACAATCAGAACAACAATTTAATAACTCAAGATAATAAATTGATGATTGAAATGCCAAATATTTTATAGAATAGCGAATAACAGATAAAATCTCCATTAAAATTGAATAGAAATACAATTTTGTGTTAATAATTTTCCTTATATCGAGAAGAAACGAATGAAAAATAAAGTATTTTCTTGTAAATTTTAAAGGAATTTCTCATTGTTCTGTGAAATTTCTCCTTTTGTTGTTACCATTCTGTTTGCAAAGCTGTATTATATAACAGGACACATGTAAATCCCGGAAGACATAAGTATATTGCTGTATGAGTGTTATTATTTTCAAATAAAATTTTAATTTATAACAAATTTAAAATAAATACATCATCTTATAAGAGTTTATCAGTTTGAATTATTATTTTTATGCTCCTGTAGTATATTAGGTGAGTAAATTAGAACACGTTTAAAGTTTACTTGACCCAAATAAGAAAATAAAGTTGTTCAAGTTTCTTCTGTTTGGTTCGTTAGTTGAAAAATTTCAGGTAATTTTTTTATTTTATTATTATATTTCTGGCTGGTTAGCCCTTTTACAAGGTCATTACTGAAAATGGACATAAAACGTGTTAACAATACCCTATTGCTATTCTCACACGTGTTTCGCATTAGGATATTTATCAGCATCTGTCCTACATACGACTTAATTTTTTTGGGTGTGTATTTATCAGATAAATAGTAAACATATTATTATATTCACTACTGTTCTGGGGGCTATACCATAATAATTATTTAGGAAGTGTTGATATTAAATGCTTTTGAATTATTGTATTTTTTTTTTATTCTATTGTAACTTACAAAGCAAAACGATTTTTTTTTTACATTTTAGATCAAATGTTAAGCTGGAAAGTAACCCTCTATGCTTGCTTACTGGACACTTTCCCTTATTTACAATTTTTCATAGGAATGGTAACAAAAACATGAATTAATTTATTGTTTTTTAGGGAAAAAAATAAATTTTTGAATGAAAACCTTAAAGTTATGTAAGTTAGAATATTATACTCGTATAATAATTTTAAATATTTACAGTAACATTATTTTCAAATAGACTCTCCTACAGTTTGCATACGTATGATGCATATCACTCCCAAATCTAAGCTGTTTTATTGAACATCAATAAATAATGATAACTTGTATGACTAATAATATACTGATTATTACATTAAGATAATATCTTGATTATTTATAAAAAATATTTAATGATATATGGAGTTTACAGTAACTTTTTAGGCTGATATTGATGTAACTGTATCATGTTACATTATTTGTATGTACTGTACAGTACTTACTGTATATGTAAAAACAACATATTCATCCAATATAAGTCCAAATCAAAATGGAAAAAATTAAAAGCATAACATGTATGGAGTTTACAGTAATTTTTTGGGCTGATATTGATGTAACTGTAGCATGTTACATGTTACATTATTTGTATGTACTATACAGTACATACTGTATATGTAAAAACAACATATTCATCCAATATAAGTCCAAATCAAAATGGAAAAAATTAAAAGCATAACATGTATAATTTAATTATTTTAATACTTTTTAAAATTAAAATTAATGACAATCGAAAGTATAGAATATTTCTCTTTGTTCGTTATAAAAAAAGGGCTAACATTAGACGAATAAAGACTTAATAAGAGAGCTCCGGGCCTTACGTATAATATATAGGCCCTTCCATGCCTTATATGACAATGAAAAGTAAGTAAGTGTGCGACAAAATAGATATAGAACAGAGATTAATGAAAGAGTCTAAGGTTACACGTATAGAAGAGCCTGGCTCTAGGTCTGTCAAGTGTTTTAAGACGAATAAAATTATAAAAATATATTAACTCAGAGATAGGGCATTTCTATGCTCGGACCCTAAAACTACGAATGAAAGGCCTTTCTCCGAATAGCAAACCTTTTAATTAGCATAAATAAAAATGGTAATTAAAACACTAACTTTAAAACGTAATTTTAAACGTAAAAGGCCTGAAAAATGACCTCTGCAAAATGCTCCGCAAGCTTTAGAACGTGTATTGTTCTTGTTAAACATTTTCGTTCGTGTCGAAGGTCGTTCATGTACTAAAATGATGAAAGTATTTAATAATGTTTAATATGTTCTTCTATTGTTTAATGCATTATCAAAGTATTCTTTATGATCCGTTACATTAAAAAAAAATGTTCAAGATGTTATTTTCCTTATGAATTTCATCTTAAAATTATATTTTGCCAATTATCGATTGCGTGATATGTGTATCAATAACATTTTATAAATTACTTATAATGTCTGTCGCTCACTCTGTACTGTACTGTACATTTATTCAGAAATACTAAAAGTAAGGATGTGTCTTATAAGGGCGTAAAATGTTATAAATATAATAAGTTTTTAATGTATTTATTCTAATTAAAGTATAAAAATCTGAATGTTTACTATTTATTAAGCAGCTACAAGTAGAATTATGCAGCCAAGGTCGATATAATTTTAAATCTTTGTCACGCCCTATTAAATGTGACAAACACACTGTAAATCGAATACCAACTTGCAAAGAAAAAATAGCCAACGAATTGAATCACGTGTATACCTAATTTTATGGGTATACACGTGCTTCATTCACTACTCGAACGTACTTGCCATTTAAACGTTAAGTACTTGATAATTTAGAAATATATCTGAAAATAAATTACTTANTTAGGCTGATATTGATGTAACTGTATCATGTTACATTATTTGTATGTACTGTACAGTACTTACTGTATATGTAAAAACAACATATTCATCCAATATAAGTCCAAATCAAAATGGAAAAAATTAAAAGCATAACATGTATAATTTAATTATTTTATAAAATAATATCTAATATCTTAAACAAATTAATTAGAATATTTTATTTTATTTTTTTCATATACAGCATCCTACTTTTTAAATAAAATCTCCTCATCCATAACAGGTTTCCTGACATTACTTTATTTATTAAATTAAAAAAAAAAGATTGAAAATTATCTAATTTTTTGTTACTTTATCTTCAGGAAATCTTTGAAAGATTTCCTGAAACTATTAACAGATTTGAAATTACTTTGTTGATGTTACTATTAAAATTAGTAATCACAGACATAAATATATTAATGAATTTATAAAAATTCAAAATATTTATTATATATTTAAATATATTTTCATTTTACTCTGATTGTAAAGTTAATAATCTAATGGATTCAATCAGTATCAGGAAGTATATATAGGCCTACAACATATAGGATTATTTCATGGAGCTATCACTTAAAATATATTCCGGATTAAGGAAATTAATCAAATATAGAATGTAATTTTATTTTTAACATGTCATGCTAACTTAAAACTTGTCATGAAACATTGAAATTATTTATACATGAGTGGAATAATAAAATATAATAACCTAATTACAAGATTCAGATTACATTCTAGCTTAGATTTAACTATATAAAAATCTGTAAATTAATTTCCTGTCTTTATAAGTAAACCGTTTAACCGTCTTCCTGTTTTTAATGCCAGTTCTTTATAGAATTTGAGTAGTTTTGGGGTTTGATATTAATATAACTGTAACTTATATACTGTACATATGCTGTATATAAGGTATAGTATGGTGTGTATATGTTATACTACATGTATATAAGTAATATAGGTCCAATAAATACTTTAAATAAGAAAAATGGAGCAAATTAAAAAATGTAATTAAATTATTTTCTTATAAAATCTATAAAAAGTAAGAATATTTTTGTAACAAAAAAAAATTAGATCTGAATTTTTAATTATATTAAACAGTAAAGGAAAAAAAACAATAAATTATTTTTGCCATTAAACTAATTAAAAATATTCTTTAAAAATTAGCCTTGATGTCCCTTGTACAAATATTTCAAAACTATGTTGAAATTTTACTCAATAAAATTCAAGGATATTTAACAATATTTTATTTTTTATTATTATTATTTGAGAAATAAAAATGTTTTAAATACTTCTTATTTATTTTAAAATTGTTTATAAATAAAAATAAAGAATTGTTAATATTCATGGCAATATTCCCTGTATAAAAGTGAGTCAGTCAGTTTTTAAAGGTCAGCAAATGAGTTTTAAAAAAATAAAAGGAAAATTTTGATAGGAAAATGAAGTTGAAAGAACTTTCAGCAGTGAAAGTGAAGTAGAAAAGAAGTTAAAGCAAAAATAATAATATTTTTCTCACTATTTTCTATAAAATTAATTTTAAAATTTAATAAAATATTACAGGAAATAATATCAAAGTAAAACTAAACATTTTCCTTATACTTTTACTCTTAAATCACATGTTTAATGATGATAACATTTCAAATTACATGTTGTCTTACTACATTTATATGCAACATTTATACAGATAATAAAAATACAGACTTAAATTAAATTAAATTTTAATTTAAATCTGTGAAATTATTGTGATTTTAAAATTTAAAATTAATAAAAAAAAATAAACTAAAGTAGGCCCTCATTTTCTTTTTTAGCTTTTCAAGCAAATATACATATGTAGAATTAATATGAGTATAACCTGTTAAATATTCTATATTGATAATTTAGGTTATAAAAATTATGAGTAGAAAAGTTTACTTTAATTTACTTTGGTTAATTTTAAATTAATGTATTTATAAAGGCATCAAAGTTTTACCTGGTTACCTCCATGAATGTTCCTTTGTGATTAAAGCTATGAAGACAGGTTTACATCTTTTTATCTTCATGTAGAATTTGTCCTTGATTATTATTATGCTTTAGAAACAATAGCAGAATGTCGTAGGAACAAAAATTGACGCAAATTAACAATTTTTCATTGTAAATTTCTCTTATTTTCATCACGAAATGTGGCATACGAAATGGTATATAGGGTGGGAATATTGTTATAGCTATCAATTCTAACTAACGAGATAAATAGGTTAGAAAGAGTATTGAGGTAGTGAAAGAACAAGTGGAAAGACAGCTAATTTATGGAGAAAAGTTAAGGAGGAAAGGAGATTTGAAGATATGGAAGACTTTAAATGGCATGTATGTAAGTTTATTAAACTTATAATTAATTTTAATTATAGAAAATATTAAATTTGTATGTTATATTAGTTTTAGGGGTGTATTTTCTTATTATATGTTATCACTAAATCTATAATAACAGTTGATTAGTCACTAAGCAAAGAAAATAATATGGTGTAACCTGTTTCTAGAATATATAAAAAGTTCAACCTAAATTTTTGTGAAGATTTTAATGTTCATAATATTATGAAAGTTCTTTTTTTATGACAGTACTTAGAAAAAGTATGGGTATTGATTCCAAGATCATATTCATTTCCTGTAAGAAAGTTATTGACTCAATAGTTTAGAATGTCTTGCAAAATTTCCACCATTGCTCAAGAAACAGTTTCAAGAATTAATTCAAATTTTTAATTGGAGTATAAATACTTTATATGGTTTTAATACACTATTTTACTTCTTAATTTGTAAACAAAAATTAGGAAAAAAAAAATTACATCTAAGATAATACAATAGGCTATTGAAGTAATTAAATTTTAACGTTATTTACACTAATTTTCATTAAAATAATTAAAGTATACCACAAAGGAAGTGGTTAAAATGGAAAAGGAAAGTGGTAAGAGGAAGCGGCCTTTTACAAATACTGTATTCCTAAAGTTAAAGTACTGTATCTTTTAAATTGGTAAACCGCAACAGAGATAAACGCGTTTAAAGATAATAAAATTAAAATCTACGAGAGATAAATACTTTAAAATACTATAAAAAAAAACTTAGCATCTGAAGTTTAAAAGATAATGAAAATGTCAATTCACCTTTTCAATTATTCATAGGGTAAGGATAGCTCCTATCAGAGACAGAGTTCTCTCTCTCCACTTTCACAGTTGATGATTGAATGCCGTGTTCTAAGACACTCTAACTCTCCTTGAATGAGTGAAGTTGCCCCGGGGCAGTGTTCCTGACCCGAAGAGTTCTCTATTGTTTATGCAATTGGGTGACTTGTGGGGTTTTTTACCTGTTCTACACATGTTGCGTATATACGAAATCCTAGGAAGACTGTTTAACCTTGACTTTTTTCTCAAATGTAATATCGATTTTTCTTGTTTCTTCTTTTCCGGGAAGATTAAAAAGATAAACAAGTTTACTTATTACACGAAGTTATTAAAATTAATTAAATTATAACGCCATTATTTACTATCCTATTACTGAAATGTTAACAATAATTTAATGCATGAAAAGAGATTTTTTTATATAAAAAAAATATGATCGTCTGGCAAATATATTCAAGGAATGTTCAAAAAAATAATTTTTCTTTTCTTTTTGTTTTTAATTTTAAAAATAAACAATACCTGGCTTCTTAATCTAAACCAAATCCTTGACATCCTTATTATGACTGGGATGCTTAAAAGGAATAAATTAATGTATTGAATGTTGCGAAATCGAGTTTTTGACACATTTTTGTATATATAAAATTTGTCACGGTCGTGTTAAAATTTAATATTTTACCAGAGAAACACCTCGTATAGTTTTAATTAAGTAGGGATGCAAGGGTTGAGGATCTGTTGGGGTGAGATCAATGCTCTTATGATGACCAGAGGGGAGAAAGTTTGACAGTTCAATGTCCTCGACTGAAAAAAACAGAGTGTTTAAGTGAATGAAAATGTATAAAATTGTAATTTTATAGCACATTTTGTAACTATTTTTGTAATATTTTACTTAATTTTTCGAGCTGTATTACTTAGTACAGTTTATAAAGTTGTAAGAACAAGTGTTATATCCATTAATTTTGGAAGATTAACGCATATTTTACGTACACAACTCGTACTTTTATGTAAATAATGTATTAAATTAACACACACGTGCTAAAAATTCGCCATTTTTCTAGCACATAGATTGATAAACTGTAATTATTACATTGAAATCAGTAAATAAAAAAATGAAATTTTTTACATCACATCACCATAAAAAGAAAAACAGTAATTTAATTTTTTAATTATGTGACTATTCAATGACCTTCTCAAATTGGGATTTATTGCTAATGTGAAAATTACGAGATACGTCCTTAGCATAATCTTTTTCAACCTTAACACAATGTAAATTAATACCCTTGATAAACTTTACAAATTATATCACATATTATTAAATGCCATTTTAAGACTTTAAAAAAATTAAAGTTTAAAAGTGTATACGGGTCACAATGACACGATAACAATCAACACTTTCACTACACGAAAATAATACTGCTTAACAATTACGGACAGACACTTAACACACTAACGATTTTCAATAATATGAATAATTGTACTTTAACAATAAGATAAAATTATAGATATAAGGTTTAGCAGACCGTAACAGGGCCAGAAAAAGTTGTCACAATATCCTATTTTAGTTGTTCGAACTTAATATTTTTTCAAAATAAATCTATAAATATACGATTAATAAGAATAGAAAACACACACAAACACATAAAAATTTGTAATTTTCGACGTAAGAAAGGGAAAAACCCATTATTGCAATGACGCCACTCTGACGTCATCGAAACTACCCCACTCCACATTGCGTCAAATCATTACAGGTTTGACTACCTATTCAAACCGATAATTATGCATTGCCGTTGTTTGAATTCAAAATTATGCCACAGAATTACATTTTAATAGTAATTCTTATTATATGATAATAATATTCATTAAATTTTATTGGAATTGTTTGTTTTAAATGTAACAACTAATCTAAATTTAGTAAGAAATTAGTAGTATGTAAGTCTGTAAGCTTATAAATAATGCATTTAACATTCCATTATTACTATATGTTCTTAGAAATTTGCATAAAAATGAGTTTAAATTATCTCTACTTAATTAACAAATGTTTTTCACATTAATTACCATTAATTTTAAATTACACGTATCTTAAATAAACCACAACTACAACTAAACAAATTTAGTAATTAAGTGGCAATAAAATACGTATTTAAAAGAAAAACGTTTGAAACATTACATACCTGAAAGTTTCTACACACATTTATACCTTTAACACGTAAAAAATAAAACAATTAAACAAAATACGCGCTCCTGTTAGCACATAAGTGCACATAACTATAGTAGTTACGTAAATACGTGTAAACCATTAACTATATAACGTAATAATTACAAAATGATTCATACCCCCCCTTTTAATAGCATGCCTAATTAGATTAGTACATAGAGTATGTCTGTCCGTAGCAATCAAAGTAAATATGGTTCAACTAGTAAATTTTATAATCCCTAATTAATTGTAATAAGTAAAAATGTAATTTCTGACCTTTCTCCTTTGTTGTAAACTGTGGAAAGACTGGACTTTTTTTATTTTTATTTTTATAACTCCGTTTCGTAAAATACGTAATGACGTCAGTAATGTGGTCGTAAGTCGAATTTATTGTTTGCGAATTAACAATGAGTCATAAGTGAATAGAAAATGACGATATTTAAAATAATTATAATTTAATTTTTTTATAACAATTGTTTTAAATATATGAGATTTTTTTTTAATATTAAAATATTCAAATTTTTATGTAGAATTAATACTTTTTAAAATTAAAATTAATGACAATCGAAAGTATAGAATATTTCTCTTTGTTCGTTATAAAAAAAGGGCTAACATTAGACGAATAAAGACTTAATAAGAGAGCTCCGGGCCTTACGTATAATATATAGGCCCTTCCATGCCTTATATGACAATGAAAAGTAAGTAAGTGTGCGACAAAATAGATATAGAACAGAGATTAATGAAAGAGTCTAAGGTTACACGTATAGAAGAGCCTGGCTCTAGGTCTGTCAAGTGTTTTAAGACGAATAAAATTATAAAAATATATTAACTCAGAGATAGGGCATTTCTATGCTCGGACCCTAAAACTACGAATGAAAGGCCTTTCTCCGAATAGCAAACCTTTTAATTAGCATAAATAAAAATGGTAATTAAAACACTAACTTTAAAACGTAATTTTAAACGTAAAAGGCCTGAAAAATGACCTCTGCAAAATGCTCCGCAAGCTTTAGAACGTGTATTGTTCTTGTTAAACATTTTCGTTCGTGTCGAAGGTCGTTCATGTACTAAAATGATGAAAGTATTTAATAATGTTTAATATGTTCTTCTATTGTTTAATGCATTATCAAAGTATTCTTTATGATCCGTTACATTAAAAAAAAATGTTCAAGATGTTATTTTCCTTATGAATTTCATCTTAAAATTATATTTTGCCAATTATCGATTGCGTGATATGTGTATCAATAACATTTTATAAATTACTTATAATGTCTGTCGCTCACTCTGTACTGTACTGTACATTTATTCAGAAATACTAAAAGTAAGGATGTGTCTTATAAGGGCGTAAAATGTTATAAATATAATAAGTTTTTAATGTATTTATTCTAATTAAAGTATAAAAATCTGAATGTTTACTATTTATTAAGCAGCTACAAGTAGAATTATGCAGCCAAGGTCGATATAATTTTAAATCTTTGTCACGCCCTATTAAATGTGACAAACACACTGTAAATCGAATACCAACTTGCAAAGAAAAAATAGCCAACGAATTGAATCACGTGTATACCTAATTTTATGGGTATACACGTGCTTCATTCACTACTCGAACGTACTTGCCATTTAAACGTTAAGTACTTGATAATTTAGAAATATATCTGAAAATAAATTACTTAAGGAAAAATTCTATATAAATATAAATAATACGCTCTTGTAAAAATAAAATAAAAGCCGAAACTAAATAATTTTTCCTTTTACATCATTAAATTATAGAGAAATTTCGTGTTTTATGGTTAGAAAACTCCGCCATGTTGTGCAATTCTCTTGGATAGAGAAAGTGGGCTTGTTCTTTGGTAGGGGGATTCAAATCAGTCTTTGGGGCCTGGCAGGCTTGATTTAGACTTTTTGTGACTTTAAGCTATAATACATAACAGGCCCTTCCCCTCCACATGGACAAAGGGAAGACAAACGGGGCATAGCCTTCCCCTGGAATCGAGTAAAAATTTCCTAAGCTATAACATATAATCAGGGACGACCAGAGGCACGAAAAACCAGTCATGAGGAATTAAAGCATTATACGATTTTTTCGTTCACTTCTTTTACTTTAATATAATAATTTAATTCGTACGGGGCCCATGTGCATTTTAACACATACTGGGGTCATACAAATTTTTGCTTCAGGTCTCTGTTACATACTGGGCCTTCCCCGCCACCAAATAATACGTGTAAAAGATATGAGACCCTAAGCTACGGACTTATAACGCCTGGCCCTAAAAAATTATCCTTACATCTAAGTTATATACGCTAATTTATATTTATTAAGTAGTGTAGCCAAGGGATCTCAGGAGTTTACAAAGGTAAGGAGTTCCTTGGCCTTTTATTTTTCTAAATAAACGAATGAAAATTCAAGTAAGTACAAGGAAATATCTGAATGTGACAAACACAGTATACCTGTATATACAATACTTAAAAGTTTATTCTTTATCCACAGAGATTGTGACTTCATCCAGTGTATCATCAACGTTCTATTCGCCGTTCTAATATATGTTTTATTGTATTTACATATTTGTATATAATTTAATCGCAGTTCTAGAAGATATCTGTGGAACGATGGAAGATATCTGTACGTCGTGACGTTCACGTGTCTATATATAAGCTCGTGTGCAAATCAGGCCCCGTTATTAAAAGCGTTAATACATGATTTTACAAATCGATATTTAGATGTTCTGCTGATAGAACTGGACCATTTAATGTGTGTTTCGTGATTAAAAGAATGCTTTTCTTGATAAGTATTGCACAAAAATTGCAATTTTTCATTTCTATTGAAGAACGTGAATTTCCATCTTTATTGGCAAATTTCCATTCAAGTTGTATTAATTTCTTATAACTGATACAGTTGTTTAAAAGAAATTCTCAGAAACATTAAATATTGTGTTTGAAATGACGCCAGAATGAGGACATTTGTATGAATACAAACAAACGTGTGAAGCGATTAACCTTGAGATAAATACGCGTGACTTAATGGAGTTTATTGTCATTATTTGCGTTTTACTTTTTATGAGCAACTTTCAATTTAATTACTTTACAGCATCAGTACGAACAAGAGGTGCGTGAATACACGCGAGCTTATTGGTATGTATAATGAGGAATGTATCCTGTAATCCACACGACACGTGAATACCATGACGTACAAGATGTCTTCCACGTGTAACGTTCTAGAACTATGAGTAAAGTATTAACTTATACGTAAATATTAGTAGCGTAACTAAAACCGATATATGGAGGGCCAATAAAACATAGAAACCTATATTCATCCATACATCAACGTGGATGTAGTCACTACTTCTGTGGATAAAGAGTAAACCCTTACGTATTGTATATACAGGTGCACAAGTTATCACATTCAGATCTTTTCCTCATACTTATTTCATTTATTTATTTACAACAATAAAGGGCCTTTATCCTCGGACACTACTGAATACGTATAAAGTAACGTACATATTTAGATATAAGAATAATTTTCTTTATAATATAAAAGTGCTCATAGTGAACATTATAAATTATATTTTCCTGATGTTTTACTTTATGAGTAACAACTTTAAAAAACTAATTAAATTTAATGGAAAGAAGAGACATTGTCATAAATGTGGGCCCCTCTTCCCGAAAAGCTATAAAAGTATATGAATAAGACTAATAAACGTGTTTTATTAGTGTACAATACTTTCTCATCATGTACAGTAAAAACGAGTAAATTTTGAGTAACCGGTAATTAGGTAAGAAATTCATATTCAGGTAATTTTATATATTTAAAGGTAAATTCGGTAAAAAAATCCGTGTATACGTAATAATTTTAAAGCCAAATATTTATTTGTATACTTTCACTTATATTTCTATTTATTAAAGACAAAAGAGTCAAATGTATTTATTTAAAACCGTAAAAATTGTTTACGTCCTTTATCTTTTAAGTTTACAGTTCTTTACAATTTTTAAAGTATCATATTACATCAATTTGTATTTTAATTCAAAACGCCTAAAATTAAGTCACAATTTCAGTTAGAATGACATTTTAGTTGACAAAATACAATTGATCTATTTAAAAATGAATTTTCCGTTTACCGGTAATAAAAGAGACAGGAAATTTGCAACCCGTAGTCTATAACATATGTGTCACCTGGTTCAGGTGGACGAGTTAATAGACGTATCGGTCCCCATTCCTTAATTTGTCTCATTCCCTGTCTCCCTCTACATTTTCCGTAACTTGTGATTCCAATTTGAACGTTGACAATGACTCTTTCCTAAATTTTGTATTTACAACAGCCGAAGAGGTGAGAGTCAACGCTTGCTCGTCTGCCATTTTGTATGCTGAGGAAAGTCCATTTTCATTCTGTATAGGAGTTGATAAAAACTCGGTCCCTAAAGAGCTCGTCCGACGTAAATTTTCTGCATTTTATACCGACTTTATTGTACATTATTTAAGGAATTTTGAAACATTTCAGATACTCGGCATGCCTCTGTTGCTCATTGGCTTCGGTCAAAATGGCGATGAGCCACACCATACCAGAACATTATGTCTACTCATTGAAGTTTATATTGCGGAACACTTCATTTTTCAATAGAGACTTCAGTACAGTGTTGCTACAATGGCAAGGTGTCTTGCCACCTTACGCATCACTCTCCTGTGCCCTTGCCTTCTCTTTCCTCTATACTCATGGACATCGCTCACGACATCATTTTACATTGCCGATTCCTTCATTGTCCTTTGATGGATTAAGGATATTCATCGAGAGCCAAAGTAGACAAAAGGAGTTGAGTTCTGTTGGATTTACCACCTTAAATGTGGTATACAAAGAAATCTTGTATTTCACGTTCTACAAGCAGCTTTTCGTAGATATTAAATTCCATTTTTAATTCTAAATGAATTTTTTTTAACCAATGTCGTATCCTGTAAGTTATCCGCTAGTTATAAAGTATTGTTAATAAAAAAAAAACTAACAATTTATAGAGTGGTTGCAAGAATATAACAAGCAAAAAATTAAATATACTGAAAATATTTTATAATATATATAAATTGTTATTTACACTTACGTAAATAATAAATCGAACAATTGATTATCAAACTTATTAATTCTGTTGGCGATTTATTTAATATAGTTATGTAAAAATTATTAAATGCCCCAATTAAATTCTCCTAAACGGTGAAATTGCGCAAATTTTCGAATATAGGTAATCACTTTTTTATTGTTAACTAATTACCTAAATTAATTGTTGGAATTAATTTACAATTTATTAACATTTAAATACATAAATTAAAATATTATCGGCTTCCATCGATAGGAACAGAACCCACGCC